ACCATGAGTTGACATTGAGAATAATAGGGCAAAATGTAGATTTTGTATTATGAGTCAGTTTTCTGTAGATTTAATAAATTCTTTGCTGGAGTCTGAGGTTTCCTCTTCAGATAATAGAAGTTTAATAGAAATATTCCCATTCTAATCAACTATTTTTTAAATCAGGGGCACCTGGGTGGCTCAGTCCATTAAGCATCCAACTTTGGCTCATGATCTCACAGTTGGTGAGTTCGAGCCTGGCATCAGGCTCTGTATTCATGGCTCAGAGCATGGAGCCTGCTTTGGATTTTGTGTCTCCCTCTCTCTTCACTCCTCCCTTGCTCATGCTCTGTGTCTCAAAAATAAATGTTAACAAAAAGAAAACAATTAAAAAATTTTTAAATCATATCTCACCTTCCGGACACCTACTTTGACCACCCTATTTAAATCTGGATTGGAATACTTGGCTGGCTCAGCCAAAAGAGCATGACTCTTGATCTCAGGGTTGTGAGTTCAAGCCCCACAATGGGTGTAGAGATCATTAAACATAAATGAATGAATAAACTTAAATAAAAAATACATAAATCTGGACTACTTCATGTCTCTTCCTTGCTTTGTTTTACTCCATGACACTTTCCACCAGTTACCGTGTCATGGATTTTGCTGTTGTGTTTTTTGTGTGTTTGTTTTGTTGTGCATTGATTATTTTGTTTTGGTTTTTGTTTGCTTCCTCTCCTTAAATTTAGGCTCTGCCAGATGACGTATTTCTATTTTATTTATTGCTGTGCTCCATAGCCTAGATTGTCACTTTTATGAAATCTTTAATAAATATTTATCAAAAAAAGAACAAATGAATGATTGCATTGATTTAATAATTTCCTCACGCTCAAGTGCTCTGAGATTAAAAAATTATTGGTGATAAACCCTAATACATATGGACATTTACATGTACCAAGAGCTATGAGAAGAACTCTAAATACATTGTTTCATGCAATCCTCACAACAAGCTCATGAGGAAGATACTATTCTAACCCCAATATCCCCACTTCAACACTGAAAGCCTGAATGTTATAGAACTGAATTAAACTGTTCAGGAGCTCACAGTAAGTGGCCGTGTCCAAACTCAGTTCTAGGAGTCTCTTTGTCAAAACCCCATGGAGGTCCGTCGTTCATTCTTCTACCTTCTGAGCGAGGCACAGCCCCTGCCCCACAGAGCTTCTCCAGGTAATTAGGGGGTCTGTGAGCTTCAGAGAAGGCTTGCATAGAAGTCTTGCTCTGTGATATAGGGACAGACCATCACTGTGGATACTTACAATGCCCAGAATGATTTTGGCTCCTCCTGCCAAAGAGAACCACCAAACCAAACAGAAGGGAGCCTAGAGTGTCACCTACATCAGAGACATTGTCCCTAATACTCCAGGGGTTCAGCCCCCCTGGCCCCTGCACAGGTTTCTCCCCAAGAGGCTAAAGGAATTTTTTCAATTAACTTATGATGACTGTTTCTTTATTGAAGATCCTGGGTGTCTTTCTCCCTGTGTTTTATGTCTGCTGTAAAATAAAAACCTCTGCCCACTGTTCTGTTGCTAGTAAATAGACATGCAAGTCTGTGAAGGTCCTCAGACTAGAGAGGGTGCATCTTGTCCTTTGATCTCTGGGTCTCTCGGACTGAAAGTGAGGACTAAGGTAACAGCCCAGAACAGAAGATATTTGAGCTTACTGAGGGGACTGAAGGGGCCAGGATTCTGCCCCTGTAAATAGGTATGTATGTGAATATGAGACTAAGTGCATGTGTTCTGTGTATTTCTATACTTGTGTGTCACTGGCACACACAGAAAATTTCCACCTGGAATGTGCATTAATCAGGCAAGGCTAGAAATCTCCTTTGAGCAATGTATGTACTTTAAAGATTACATCTATGTTATCTGTGTATTTTTTGTGTGATTCTGTGTGTTGTGATTTGAATATCTGTGACTGTCTGGGAGTACCTATGTGTTTGCATCTCAATTATATGTTGTTTGTTAGTTCTTTGTATGATTCTGTGCATTGTGAGTGTTTTTCATATATGACTGTGTGTTCATTTATGAACTTTGTGTGAAATATATTTGTACCTTGATTATTTACATCGAAGGCATGAATCTAGACATGTAGGAGAGAATAACAAATCATCCAACAATATGTGTGTTGGAGTGTGTATGCGTGTGAAGGAGAGAGAGAGATTGACTATAGGTATAGAGGTGTCTTTATTATGAGTTTTACAAACTTGCACCCCTACTAAACTCACCCAGAAGGGATGAAAGAAAAGTGAGGGCTTACAACTCTAACAAAGCAGTGTGTGTGTGTGTGTGTGTGTGTGCATGTGCATGCCTTTGAAAGGAACAGTTTAACTTTCTGGTGTTCCCTTTGATTCAGACCAGAACCCAGCAAAGCACTTTTAAATTGGATCTTCCTTAAGCCCCACTGGGTTCATCAGATTATGTGAGTTGAGTGTTCTGATAATGGACCCATAGCCCTAGATATTTCTCATTCCAGACTTTAGCATTGTCCATATTTAAATTTTGGGAGCAGGGTAGTCTGGGTAAGTGTTCAGGTTCTGGTGTCCTCAGAATCTGGTGGTTGCCACACAACAATTTTGCAACCTGACATTTGATCTGAGGCCAGCAGCCTTAAAAATAAATGAGGATAATAATAGCATTTGCAGGATATCATTTACAACAGTTTTATCCATTTCAGGCACATAGTGAGCACCCAGTAAACAGTAGCCTGCTGTGTAATTATTACCCCAATGGAGGCTGACTGAACTGACTACATTCAGGTAACTCTAAGGCAGGAGAATATGTTGTGACAGTTGTAACAGCAAGCCTGTGCAAGGATCCTCTCTCAAACCTTAGGTTACAGCTTCACTGCTGAGTATAGGTCACAGTGATATTTATACACAGGTGAAGGTTCCCTTCCTACTGGCTTGCCCCTGATATCTTGGCACCATTCCTGCATCAGGATTTCTGGCTCCCTCTGCAGTCCACCCCAGAGAAGCCAGAGGTCTTGACTCTAGTCCCACCCAGCAACTGTCAATAAGCAGCAAGTCCTCAGTAGGCGAGTAAGTTCACCTCCTTCCTCCCAATGTCCTAGTGTCCCTGAGAATCCCCCTGGCCTGGAATAAGAATCTACTACTAGATATGGAGCCCTGTGTGTTAATTCCAGTTTCCTTCTCCAGGAGTGTGGGTATTTGAACTCTATTGGCCACTGTCCCTCACAGCAATGGGAAGTGTCTGCCTGTAGTGACAAGAGCATCCAAAGACTTGCTTCTGAGATCAAGTGCCACCACCACATAGACTACAGAGTGTATGTGTAGAAGTGACTTCACTTCTCATGTTAGGAGGATGGAAGGAAAAAGTCACTGTGCTCTCTCCTTTTCAGACACAATAGATATTGATTGCTTACTATTGACAGTATGTGAAAGGCATTTGTAAGATGTAGGCTGTAGGAACATAGATGGCTGCAGGAATGAGTGATGGCAGACATCTGAGCTGGTGGTTGAGGTGCTACAGAACACAGAATTCCTCTTTCAAACACTGAAATGTGTCTCAAAGTGTCTCACTGAAATTTGAGCTCAAATTGAGCTCTTCTGCTCAATTACAGAAGGGGAGGGAGAGTATGTTCAATAGCAGCAGAAAATTAAAGAAATGAATAAAGAATGGTGACTCCAGCAGTTCCTGTCCGTGTGACCACGGGCTGGTTTCTTAACATTTCTTAGCTTTAGCACACATGCACATGCACACACATACACTAGATGTAGCAATCACACATATATATGCAATATGTATGTGCAAAAATCCCTTTGTTTTGTCTGGCACATATTAGAATACTTGTTCAATAAGTCGCAGTTACATTAAGATCACTAATGGAAAATAGTCATGTCAATCAGGTCAATATTAATTCTAACAGGCATCACCAATCGTAGCATCTACTAGCTCTCAGGCCCCAGGACAAATATTCAGATGCTTTACTACATGTGAATACTTGGATCTGAGCCAGTTCGATTTGCTGAAGATAGAAGCAGAGAAATGGACAAATATAGAGGTGGGTGAAGTATAATTTATTTTTCTCAAATTAAATAAAATATGGCAAGCTAAATTCCATTGGGAAATTAACCCCAGGCTTTAGGAGGTGTGCCTGTGCAGTTTCCTTGGGAAGGTGAGAGCTCACACAGGTTAACACAACTTTTAGAGCAGCTACCTGTTTCTTGCTAGTGCCCACCTCACATTTCTGGTATATTGGGTTTCTAAAGATCAACCCAGGATTTATTTAGACACCTATGCTGGAATGAAGATGTCAGATGACATATCTGTGTGTTTACTATATGAAGAACTCTGTTCTAATATTCTAACTCTCACTGAGTCACTTAATTCTTCTGCAAACCTTATGTGTAGGCATGCTATACTTACCCTGCAGAGGTGCGAACTGAGGCTAAGAGAGAGTAAGCTGTGGAGACTAGCTAGAAAGGCATGGGGCCAGAACGTACCAGAAGTCTAGTCACAGATACACTGCTCTGAACCTGTGCTTGAACAGGCTACTCTTTTTTTTTAAAAAAAAATTAATGTTTATTTATTTTTGAGAGAGAGAGAGAGACAGTGTGAGCAGTGGAGGGGTAGAGAGAGAGAGAGGGAGACACAGAATCTGAAGCAGGCTCCAGGCTCTGAGCTGTCACCACAGAGCCTGACTCGGGGCTCGAACTCATGAGCTGTGAGATCATGACCTGAGCCGAAGTTGGACACTCAACCAACTAAGCCACCCAGGTGCCCCTGGAACAGGCTACTCTTTAGAATGTGAGTTCTCTTTCTTTTTTCTCCAGGAAATAATATGGTGTCCAACACATTGTTAGATGAAGAAAGAAATTTCCCCTGGCTTACATTGTTGGGAATTTTCTTAGTCATTGGAGCTCTGATGGGAAGGGTGGGGATTCAGGCCATAGCATGTGGGAAATACCCTGAGGAATTCCTCAGTAGAAAGTAAATAACCCTGCTATGATTGCCTGCTATGATTGCCACTATTGCTATTTATCATCTGGAACATTCCCTATATTCCTTCGATCTAAGCAGACAGAAAGCTGCATAAGGAGGGAGAACCAGAGCAGCAAGTCCGAGTTCCTTCTCCTGGGGCTCCCCATCCAGCCAGAGCAGCAGGCCATGTTCTTCACCCTGTTCCTGGGCATGTACCTGATCATGGTGCTGGGGAACCTGCTCATCATCCTGCTCATCAGGGTGGACTCTCGCCTCCACACCCCCATGTACTTCTTCCTCAGCCACTTGGCCTTCACTGATGTCTCCTTCTCATCTGTCACCATCCCCAAGATGCTGATAAACATGCATACTTGGGATCAGTCCATCCCCTATGCAAGCTGTGTAACACAGATATATTTTTTCCATATTTTTTGGCTGTATTGATAACCTTCTTCTTGCAGTGATGGCATATGACAGGTACATGGCCATTTGCCATCCTTCACACTACACCACCATCATGAGGGAGAAGCTGTGTATATTTATTCTGGCTGGATCCTGGTTCCCTCTCCTGTACAAGTGCCCTGTGCCACACCATCCACCTGGCTCAACTGTCCTTTTGTGCTGACAACACCATCTCCCACTTCTTCTGTGAACTTGCTGCCCTGCTTAAACTCTCCTGCTCAGACACTTCCCTCAATGAAGTTTTTATCTTCACTGTTGGGGGATTGGTCATTACCCTGTCATTTATTGGTGCTCTAGTCTCTTATGGTCGCATCGGGGCCACCATCCTGAGATTTCCCTCGATCAAGGGGATATATAAAGCTTTGGCCACCTGTGGCTCCCACCTCTCTGTGGTATTTCTGTTCTGTGGGACAATCATGGTACTGCACTTTTTCCCATCATCAAGCAACTCCAATGACAAAGACATAATTGCTTCAGTGATGTACATAGTGGTCACCCCCATGCTGAACCCCTTCATCTACAGCCTGAGGAAGAGAGATATAAAAGGAGCCATGGGGCAACTTCTCAGAAAGGAAATCTTATTCTCCAAAGTGACAGTCCCCTATTCTTGTTCTTATGTCATCCACTGACCCACTGACCCAGAGATCTCCTCAAAAACTGTGTACTCAGGTGACCAATGTTACTTTTTGCTCCATACACCCTCCTTTCAATAGTCCTTCCTATTTGTGATCCCTATACTCCCAGGGGCTATAAGTATGAAATAAAATTTCATAAAGCTCTCCTCTCACTCTTTAAATTCTTCACTTCCAAGCTGAATATTGGAACTGTCAAATGTGTTTTTAAAAATGATTTTAAGTAATCTCTACACCCAAGTAGGACTTGAACTCACAACCCTGAGATCAAGAGTCACACACTCCACTGACTGGGCTAGCCCAGTGCCCCTGAGACAATACTTGTTAAATACAGAGTGAAATGTGTATTTGACATCTTATTTGAGTTACTTTAAAAAAAAATTTTTTTAACATTTATTTATTTTTGAGAGACAGAGAGAGGCAGAGCATGAGCAGGGGAGAGAGACACACACACAGAATCCGAAGCAGGCTCCAGGCTCTGAGCTGTTTGTTAGCACAGTGCCCGACCTGGGGCTTGAACCCACGAACCACAAGACCATGACCTGAGCCAAAGTCCGACGCTCAACCGAGCCACCCAGGCACCCCTTACTTGAGTCACTTTTAATGTTTATAAAATTGAGTTGCTTTAGCAATTAAGGTGTCATTAAAAATCATTGCATAAAAATTAATGATAGTCTATATTTTAGTTTCCCTACAGAAACTAGTTCCCCAGAGCTATAGAAACATAGCGTAGTTCCTAGTTTTCAGAGCAAGGAAGTTTAAAATGCTTGTCTTCCTAATGAGGTACCTGATTAATAAAGCATTGTATCACAACTTCCTAAACACTCAATAAAATGCAAAGCTTTTAGCTTCTCTCATTAATTCTATTGTGCTCATGGTGGAAAGAACCCAACAGAGATGCGTAAGGCAATCAATGCTCTTAACACAGTTCATGATCCTAAGTCTTTTTCCCTCTACAGGACTCTCCTTGGTGCAATTGTCTCTATTTTTCTTCCTTCTTGTTTGGAAAAATGAGGATTGTTTCTGTCCAAACTGAGACAATTCATTTCTAGTTGAAGCAAAGATAAATTTATGCTTGGGATATCACTTATTAAGTAAACTTGTATTCTAGGGTCAACCTAGCTCAGTTGGTTAAGCGTCTGACTTCGGCCCGGGTCATGATCTCGCAGTTCATGAGTTTGAGCCCCGCATCAGGCTCTGTGCTGACAGCTCAGAGCCTGGAGCCTGCTTTGAATTCTGTGTCTCCCTCTTTCTCTGCCCCTCCCCTGATTTCCCTCTGTCTGACTCTCACTCTCTCAAAAATAAATGAACATAAAACATTTTTTAATAAAAAAAATAAATTTGTATTCTATAACTACTTATATTCTAACAAGTCAAATTTTCTCCCTTTGAGGAATTGATGTTATAGAGGGAGGACACTATCAGTCAAAAAAATATGTAAAGCATATATGTTATGAGATAATGAGTTTTATATCACTTAATTATATTAAGTTATATATAAGTTTCTATTATGAGCAAGGTGACAGGGACAAGGAGTGTTGAGGATGGCACAGAAATTTCAAGTGGTCTAGTGTCAGAGTAGGCTTCTGTAAGAAGGAAGGATTTAAGAAAACAGCTTCAGAGGAACAGGAAAAAAAAGTTGCTGTTTTTATCTGAGGGGAGGAACATTTTAGACAGGGGGAGTAGAAACTGCCAAGGGTCTGAGATGGGAGAATGCTTCACATATTGGAGAAACTGAAAGGAGGCTAGATTGACTATCAGGATTGGTAGGAGATAAAGGTTAGAAGTAACAAGGAATCTGTTTGGGTAAGGCCTTGTAGGCAGTTATGGTCTTTGGTCTGACTGTGCATGACTTGAGAAACCAATAGAAAGTCATCAGTAGAGGTTGATCTGTCTTAAGTTCAAGACCTTGTCTTACTTTCACACTTGTCTTCTTCCTATCTAGTCTCAACAAAAAAGCCAGAAAGAGTTTTAAAAGTATCCTTCTGGCTCTTTTGTTGAGACTAGATGGGAAGAAGACAAATGTAAAAGTAGGGAAATTATAATACTGGAATAATATAGACAAGGGATTTAAGTCTCTCATGTCAGGATGGTAGCATTAGAGACCAGGAGAAATGAATGAACTCTGAACAATCTAATAAGTCTCAACTAATTTAAATAGATTTAAATCATACAAAGAGCATTCTCTGACCACAAGGTAATTAAATTAGAAATCAATAACAAGAAGATATCTGAAAATTCTCCAAATATTTGGAAACTCAGTAGCACATTTAAAAATAGCCCATGAATTGAAGAAGAAATAAAAAGTGAAACTATAAAGCTTTAGAATGGAGTTAAAATAAAAACAAAACATACTGAACATGTGACATGCAGCTAAAGCAGTAAAGGGGGTAAAAAAAGAAAGAAAATGGAAACAGACTCATAAATACAGACAAGAAATTGGTGGTAGCTGGAGGCAAAAATTTTGGAAGGATGAGAAAACTAGGGGGAAAAGTTTAAGAGGTAACAACTTCAATTTATAAAATAAATAAATAACAGGGATGAAAATTACAGCATACGGAATACAGTTAATGATACTGTGATATTTATAGTGACGGATGTTAACGACATTTATCATGGTGAGCACTGAGTAATGCACTGAACTGTTGAGTCACTAGTGTTGTACACCTAAATCTAACACTATATGTCAACTATAATTCAGTAATCAAACTTCAAAATAATATAGCAGTAAATGCTTACATAAAAGAAAAAGAATGGCCTTGGGGAATGCATGAAGAGGTGAAGGAGATTAAGAGGTACAAATTTCCAGTTATAAAGTTGAAAACTTATGGGGATGAAAAGTATAGCATAAGGAATATGGTCGATAATATTGTAATAACATTGTATGGTGAGAGTAACTATACATGTCATGATGAGCAATGCATAAGGTATGGAACTGTCAATGCACTGTGTTGTACATCTAAAAATAACATAACATTGTGTGTCACTATACTTCAAGAAAGAAAGATCAAATTAAACACAAAGTAACCAGAAGAAACAATAAACTAATGACAAAATTAATAAAATAGAAAAAGGAAGAATAACAGAAAGATTTAATTAAACAAAAACTTGGTTCTTTTAGAAGAACAATAAAATCAATAAGCCTTTAGCCAGACTAACTGGGAAAGATGAAAGAAAAAGATATGAATTACTGATATGAAGAATGAGAAATGACATCACTACAGATTCTATAGATATTCAAAGAAAAATAAGAGACTGTTATGAATAACTTTGTCAATAAATTTGACAACTGTGATGAGACACACAAATTCCTTGAATCACAAAAAATCCCAAATCTCACAGAAGAAGAAATACATAAGAAATTATGTATTGAAGAAATTGAATTTGTGGTTAGGATGAGCACTGGGTGTTATATGTAAGTGATGAATCACTGTGTTCTACTCTTGAAACCAACACAACATTGTATGTTAACTAACTTGAATTTAAATAAATTAATTTAAAATAAAGAAACTGAATTTTTAGTCACTGCCTAAAAGAATTACAAGCACAGATGGCCTCATGTGTGAATTATACTAAACATTTAAAGAAGAAATAATACCAGTTCTCCACAAGCTCTCCTAGAATACTGTAAAGAAAGGAATTTCCCAAACTATTCTCTGAGGCCAGCATTACTCTGACACCAAATCTGTAAAAATATAAGAAAATCACAGACATCTTTTTGCGTTGGTGCAAAAATCATTACCAAAATTTTAATCAGTCAAATCCAACAATATATAAAAAGGCTAAAGCACCTTGGCTAGCTAGGTTTCATTGTAGCAATGCATTTGGTTTAACTTTTAAAACTCAATTGTTGTGATTTATCATTTTATTTTATTTTATTTCACTTCATTTTATTTTTAAATATAATTTATTGTCACATTAGCTAACATACAGTGTATACAGTGTGCTCTTGGCTTCAGGGGTAGATTCCCATGATTTATCATTTTAATAGACTACTGAAGCAACTCTAATGATCATCTCAATATATGAAGAAAAAAATTTTGACAAAATTCAACATCCATTCTTGATTTTAAAACAATCTTAAAAAACTAGCAATAGAGAAAAACTCCCTAGACTATAAGGGTATCTATGAAAAGCCTAAAGCCAACATCATAACATTAACATAACATTAACAGTGAAAGACTAAATGCTTTCCTACTAAGATCAGGAACAAGGTGAGGATATCAATTGCACTACTTCAACTCAAAATTGTGTTGGAAGAGTGTCTATAGTTAACAATACTGTATTGTATACTTAAAATTTTGCTAAAAAGTTAGGTCTTATTTTAAGTGCTCTGCCATCGACTGTATGTTTGTGCCCCCTATTTCTATGTTGAAATCTTAACCCTCAATGTGATGGCATTAGAATATGGGGCCTTTGGGAGTGATGAGGTCATGGTAGTGTAGTCCTTATGAACGGGATTATGAAAGAGACTCACGAGAGCTCTCTCATCCCGTCTGCCATGCGCAGACATAGCAAGAAAATGACAGTATATGAATCAGGTGATGGATTCTCACCAGACACAAATTGCTGGTGCTTTGGTCTTGACCTTTAGCCTCCAGAACTGTGAGAAATAAATGTTTGTTGTTTAAGCCATCCCATTCATGGTATTCTGTTACAACAGTACAAACAGACTAAGATATGCTCTTACCCACAAAAGAAAAAAAGGGGGGGGGGGCAGGAGGAAACTTTTGGAGGAAATAGATACATTTATGACCTTGATTGGGGTGGTTGCATGGGTGAATGCTTGTCTTCAAATTCATCAAGTTGTACACACCAATTATATACAGCTTTTTGTATGTCAATTATATCTAAAAAAATGGTTTAAAAAAACAAAATTTTGCTCAAGATCCTAAATAAAGGCAATAATAGGTGTATGCAACTTTGTATATACTGCTCTCTATACAATTCAGGGATGCATAATACATGCACCAAAAGATATATTCAAGAATTTTTCC